AATATTTACTTTTAAAAAATTCTTGTGAAAAATCAGCTGGGCTAAAGGAAAGGCTCAGAGGTTCTTGCTGGACAAAGCAGAGGGAGGGTTCAGTCTCCACACTTTGCATAAGCTTAGAGCACCAAGCCCTAGTCATTGTTGTGGTGAAGCGGTCTGCTGTCATGTCTTCTGAGGAATGGCTGAAGGGACTGGGAAGTGTTGGATATTTAAAGAGTCGTCATCTAGGAAGAGAATTAAATGCATCTGGGTAGCTCTAGAAGGCTGATCAGAATTATGATCAGTAGGTGGAAATTATAGGGAGGCAGGTAAGGAAAGATTTCCCAGCAGAGTTACTGCCAGTGACTTTGTTGAAGAAGTTAGGCATTCCCTTGTCCCTGGCAAGTGTTGGGCATTGTGGGATGGTTTAACCAGATAATCTCAAAGGTCCTCTCCAGTGCTTAAGCTTATGTAATTCTAGTCCAGATCTTTCATTTCACAGATGACCTTTCTCTGAGCGTCAGTCCCCTTAAGTAACTACCATTTAGTGAAAGAACCAGGAGGAGAATGCTCAGCTGACTCCAGGGCTTTTTCCCCAATACTGTGCTCTGTTCTGATTTGGTCCTTGTCTAGAAGTAGTGCCAGTGTCTGGTAAACACTTGAGTTCCCCAGAGGACTTGTTGAAGCTAAACTGAAGGGAGCTCGGAAGTCACTCACCTCCTTCATGGTTATAGATGTATCCATCGAGATGCCCGAGGAGCTGGATATCTCACAGCTTCGGGGCTCAGGGCTGCAGCCTGGAGAGGAGGAGCTACCTGACATTGCTCCACCCTTGGTCACCCCAGATGAACCCAAAGGTAGCCTTGGTTTCTATGGAAACGAAGATGAAGACTCCTTCTGCTCCCCTCACTTCTCCTCTCCGACATGTTAGTGATTCTTTTTCCTGCCTGTCTTTCTTTACCTTGCTGATGGATGGAGAAGGGGGGGCTGTACCTTGCCCCCTCCCTGCCCCTTCCTTCCTCTCTGTACTTTGCCTGTCAGTCCTCCCTTTTGCATTCCCTTTTCCCCACATGTTAGACAACCCCTTCCCCAGATTCTTATTGGGAGGGTGGAGATACCCCAGAGCTCTCATTCATATCCTGTGAATGAATGGAGGTCTGTCTTATTAGTTGTGTGCACTGGGTGACACTGTTTTGGAAGGAAGTAGGAAGAGGTAGTCGTGGTCCAGAAATGGGGATCTCTTGTGTGGTTGGGCACTGAAGGATGGAAGTGGGGAGTATGAGTCACCTTGATTTCTGTGTCTGTTGGGTATACTGAACCCACAGTAGGTTGGTTAGATTTTTCAAGTTTAGGGGAAAGGTACAGGAAGGGAGGGTAAAAGAAGGTGGAGTGGGGAAGGGGAGGAGTATAAGATCCTGGGAGGCTTGAGGGCAGGCACTGTTCAGGGAGCTAGATGACACTTATCTATCTCCTATCCTCCACAGCTCCCATGTTGGATGAATCTGTCATCATTCAACTGGTGGAGATGGGCTTCCCCATGGATGCCTGCCGCAAAGCCGTCTACTACACTGGCAATAGTGGGGCTGAAGCTGCTATGAACTGGGTCATGTCTCATATGGATGATCCAGGTATGGAGGAGGGTTAAAAAAATGAGAGGCTGAGGGGCAGGGATTCTTGACCCATTCCACACCTCAGCACTATACCACATACCCCGCAGACTTTGCAAACCCACTTGTCCTGCCTGGCTCCAGTGGTCCTGGCTCTACCAGCACAGTGGCTGATCCCCCATCAGAAGATTGTGTGGCTACTATTGTCTCCATGGGCTTCTCCCGGGACCAGGCCATGAAAGCGCTTCGGGCTACGGTACGGACTGAGGAGTTCAATGATGGGGATGTGGAAGTGGAGAAGGGGGAATGTGGGAAGGGTAGATATGCCATGGATGAAATAAAAGTTGTTTGTACCAGGGGAACTTTGGAGCTTCCCTGCTCTTTCAATATTCCTACCTAAATTATAATCCTTGCCATATGATTTTGGGAAAAAACTTACCTTTCCTCTCTTCCAGAACAACAATCTTGAACGGGCTGTGGACTGGATTTTTAGCCACATTGATGACCTGGACGCAGAGGCTGCTATGGACATTTCAGAGGGGCGTTCAGCTGCAGATTCCATCTCTGAGTCTATTCCTGTGGGGCCCAAAGTCCGAGATGGTCCTGGAAGTGAGTATCTCTGAGGGAAAAGCAAGGCTGTGTTGCTGGTCTAAGATTGGCCTCTAGTGTCCACCCCAAAACTTACTACTAGAAACTCTACTTTTTGTTGGGGCTAAAAGCTCCGGCTTTAAGATTGGGAGTTGATGGGTTGGGAGCTAATCTATTCCTAGTTCCTTCACATGGTCTATAACATACTTTCACATCTTGATTTTGAACCTTTTGGATGGGTTGTGTAGAAAATTTGTCTATAAAGAGGGGTCTTGGAGAGTATGTCTCTGGGATTCCCCCGTTATTCCTCCTTCTGATTCTTTCCTATTATTTCTCCTCAAATTCTCCTTCCCTAGAGTATCAGCTCTTTGCCTTCATCAGTCACATGGGCACCTCTACCATGTGTGGTCACTATGTCTGCCATATCAAGAAGGAGGGCAGGTGAGATGCTGACTGGGGGTCAGGGCAGGGGTGTTTTGGAAAAAGGATAGGAAGGGATCATCTTCTATTTGGATGGAAGGAGGGAAAGTTGATAGTGCTAGGGATGGAAAAAAAGCCCCCAAATAAAAGGGCATCAATGAAACATTAAAAAAGGCACAGCTGAAAGTTCAGTAGGGACACTGAAGCAGGACACTTTTGTTATTATGATGTAAAATGTAAGTAAGTGCACGGATTTCACATTCTATCCTCTTCTTTGAATAGAAATGTTCGTTTTTTGTTGGTGTTTTAATTGATCATAATAAAAGGAGTGAGAGGAAATAGGGTTGTGAGTTTGGCATTATCAGAAAATCCTAGGGCTGGAAGATCATTTGTATGGAAGAGCCAAGGGCAGAAGGTTATATATAAAGCAGGAGTGCTTTTGTAATGACATCTGTAGACCCTGGCTGTGGAGCTGTGGTTGTTGGAAATAGTCAAATCTGGCCATAAGTAGGTAGAGAAAGTTGGGAATTGCTATACCAGTTATCTAGGCTCATTTCTACTAGTGACTCCCCTGTAATGATTCAGAAACTGAATTGATGTATCATTAGGACTCCAATTCACCCATCTTCTCTTCCTTTCTCCTAGGTGGGTTATCTACAATGACCAGAAAGTATGTGCCTCAGAGAAGCCACCCAAGGACCTGGGCTATATTTACTTCTACCAGAGAATGGCCAGCTAAGAGCCTGCCCTCTGCCTCACATCTTCCTGAAAATGGAGACCAGGCAACAGTGGCATCACAGACCAACTGGCATGAGGAGGGGCTGGACAGAGAAGGAACCCCAATTCTCCTCCTCAATCCCCTTCTCTTCCTATCCCTTATTAGCACACTGGAGGCCTTGAGGGACTGGCTGAGTTAAGGGGAAAGCTGGAATGCAGGGGCCACCCCCACAGACTTGGTGGGGGAGAGGGGAGGGGAGGAATGGACCTTCTGTCTGTAATGAGATCTCTTCAGTTCCCCTTCGGTTCCCCCTCCCTCTTCCACACCCTTTACAACTCTGCTTTTGATTCTCAGTGTAACCTTGCTCAGGCCCTTCCAGGAAGATTGAGAATATGAGAGAGAATGAGAGAGGGAGAGGGGGAGAGAGAGAGAGAGGGGGAGAGAGAGAGAGAGAGAGAGAGTGAGTGTGTGTGTGTGTGTGTGTGTGTGTGTGTGGCTTTGTGCATCACCATTCAGGGATGGGGTAGTTCTTTGTCTCTCTCTTTACACTCCATTTCTTCCCCTCCCCCCATTTCCCTGTATTCCATCTTTGTGTTCCTTCCCTCCTGGATAGGGTAAGGAAAAGTGGGAGGATAATGGGGAATTCTCCCCATCCCTGTGCTACCAGTCTTTCCCCGTACCCCTCTCCTCTAGAAAATGCCAAAATACCAGATGTGAATAAAAGTCTAAAGGGTGAATTGTGGTGACATCAATTTGGGAACTGGCTTCTTGCCATCTCTCCAACGACCTGAGAAAGAGCCCGGCTTAGAAAGTGACCACCCCTTACCGTCCACGTCATGCTGGCTTCAGTCGTCTAAATGGCCAGTGGGCTTTTGTATGAAGGTTCCCAGCCTCATTCCACAGAGAGCACACTCCTTTATAATCTCTTCATGTCATTCTATCAAGAGTGAAAAATTAGTGTGAAACTATGAGATGAATGAAAAGTGGGGCTAATAGGACTGAGGGTACCAAAGCTGCCTTGACTGATACACTGCTGAGCCTGGCCAACCTGTTGCTAGGCACTAAGCTGAGGTCTAGCAGCATCCTTCCCCCAAGGCCTTTGTTGCATGGCACCCTTTATATGGTCTGGTGGTGAGGGCAGAGCTGAGCCTGGCCATGTACTAGCTAGAGGAAGGAGCTATGGCAGACCTCTCAGCCATCAGGTCCCAGGAGTTTACTGAGAAGAATCTGGCACTGTAGGCTAGGAGTCATCTTGGCCTCTTGAAAATTCACATCCAGTTTCTGCAAGCTTTTGCCAACAAGGGTGTCACCAGCTAAGAAGGAAGTGTAGTTTATTCTCTGTCCTCTGGCCTTCAACTGTCTGCAAAGATGCAGGTAGAATGGAACGTAACAGTGGGTAAGTCACTTCACCTTTCTGGGCTTCAGTTTGCACCTCCGTAAAATGGGGTTGTGCTAAGGCAAGCTCTAAAAATCCCTTCCCACCTTTTTGCCGATGCTATAATGGGGGTATGAAGTAGCGCAGGGATTGAGTAAATTTTGCCTGGGAAACCATAAGGTGGCCTTCCCCGGGGAGCCCTCCGAAGGCGGGGCCCTGGGGGCAGCCCGGGCACCTCCCTGGAGGCGGGGCGTCGGGGTCGGCCGGTAGAACGCGGCGGCGGGGCGGGGCGGGGCGGGGCTAGTGGCCGGTCTACATAAGCGGCTCGGGTTGGGGCGGTGGTTGTGCTCTACTGCTGACCTTCAATCTCCGGAGTCACTGCCCGTTACCGACGAGCCATGGCGTCGCGCAAGTTCTTCGTTGGGGGCAACTGGAAGATGAACGGGGACAAGAAGTGTCTGGGGGAGCTCATCACCTCGATGAACGGGGCCAAGGTGCCCGCCAACACCGGTGAGCGCGGGGCGCGGGGGTGCGGGGGCGCCGGGCCCGAGGCATTCCTCCCCGCGACCCCCGCGACCACTTCCCCGGCTCGAGAGCGGGGGCGGGGGGGAGGACCGGCCGCGCGGGGCCCCGGGGCATCCCCATTCATCCCCCCGGGGGGTAGGGGACGAGGCGCCGTTAATGGCTGGGGGGACGGGGGTGGAGCCGTTCGTGGCGGCGGGGAGGGAAGGCGGCCACTGCCCTGCCCCGCGGGGTCGCGGGAGGAAGATGACTGCGCGAAATGGGCCCGCGGAGCCCTGCTCCCCCCATGCGCGCTGTGCGGGGCGGCACGTAGCGCGGCTCGGGCTGGCCGGGCACGTGGCCGGCGTCTGGTCCGGAGCCCAGGGACGGCTGGGGCTGTCCGAGTGCGGCCGCTGCCCCCGTGCCAGCCTGGGCTAAAGGGCAGCTGCGCATCGGGGGCTCCGCGAGCGGGGGCAGCCATCGACGCCCCCCCTTCTGCAGCGACCCCCCTCCTCCATTCCAGATCCTAGATAAGGTCAAGGAGAGTGAGCGGACTCCGCAAGGGCAGATTTAGCAGCCCCTTCCCAAGTTCTTTAATTGGCTTATACATCTTCTCTGCTCCTCGAACCCCCACCCCCATTTCCCATTTCCTGTTCGAATGCCCGTATGTGGCTTTGGATAGGGGAACTATTTTGGGAAAAGGGTAGGGTTTGCCTCTCGGGGAATGCTGAGAACCCGTGCTTAGAATAGCCTTGGGGTAACCAGAGCTACTCCTGCTTAAAGATCACCAGGGGGCAGGGCTGATAATGGAGAGGTTGGGTCCATGGTCTTTAACGGGGAACCAGAGTGGGGTTAGGGCATCCTGGAAATAGATTTTGTTTGGAGGCAGGATAGCCTTCCAGTCCTGCCAAAAGAAAGGTAGTATCCTTTCTTTTGGCTCAAGGAGGGAAGTCAGGTTTTCAAGAAAGGGCCTAAGTAGTTTGGGGCATGACTTCATTTGTCTGTACTCTTCCCTCCCCAGAAGTGGTATGTGGAGCCCCTTCTATTTACCTTGACTTTGTTCGTCAGAAATTGGATGCAAAAATTGGTGTAGCTGCTCAGAACTGCTACAAGGTGGCCAAGGGTGCGTTTACTGGGGAGATCAGGTAAGGCACCAGACTATAGGAAATGCCCCTTAGTCATTTTTCAGAAACATTAGCTTGATATTATGGGTTGTGGGGACAGAGAAAGAGGCCCAGATTGAGATGCCTCTGTATTGAGCCTTAGCTTTCTTTCTCAGCCCTGCCATGATTAAGGACTGTGGGGCCAACTGGGTGATCCTGGGACACTCTGAAAGGAGACATATCTTTGGGGAGTCGGATGAGGTGAGTAGTAGGGGAGGAAATGACAAGAGAAGGAATCTGCAAGGGGAGACTCCAGGAAATGGGAGGAGGGAGCATGTCTTAATAATACGTCGATTGTTCCTGCAGCTCATTGGGCAGAAGGTAGCCCATGCTCTGTCAGAAGGCCTAGGAGTGATTGCCTGTATTGGTGAGAAGTTGGATGAGAGGGAAGCTGGAATCACTGACAAGGTTGTTTTTGACCAGACCAAGGCCATTGCAGGTAACTGCTGGTTTAGGGATGAGATTAGCACATATGTCACAGATAATGATACTGAGACCCTGAAGGGGATGGCAGGCAGAAGGCCATGCCCATGCTCTCCTGACTCCATAGGCATCTGCTGAGTAGGGGAAAGAGGAGAGTGGAAATCTTTACTGGGTCACTGCCTTGCCTAATAATGTTACAGGTACTACTTGCCCTCTTGTGCCACCTTGTGGCTTTAAAAGCAAAAAGCTGGGGCTGGAGGAAACACTGGGAGGTAGCTAGATTGAAATTCCAAAGTCTCTGAGCCTGCGTTCCCTCTGTCCCCACAGATAACGTGAAGGACTGGTGCAAAGTCGTCCTAGCCTATGAACCAGTCTGGGCTATTGGTACTGGCAAGACAGCTACGCCCCAGCAGGTAATAAGACCCTTGGAAAAGACCCCAGCAGGAAGAGGGAACACTTGGTGTCCTGCTGCCCTCTTGAATCACAGAACTTCAGAGATGGAAAAGAGATGATATTATCTAGTCCAGTCTCATTTAGGGATGAAGAAATGGAGGTTCAGAGTGGTGGTAATATATCCCAAGTCACACAGGTAGTAAGTGACAAAACTGGGGTTAAAAGCCAGATCAGTGACTTTTCATTATACCCTCATTTGCCCCTACAAGATTACTCAGAAATTGCTGTGATCACCCCTCCCCACTTTGCCTTTAAGAGTTCCACGAAGAGGAGATCTGAAAGCTGTCTGGGTATCTCTCTTTCTAGGCCCAGGAGGTACACGAGAAGCTTCGGTGCTGGCTTAAGACCCACGTCTCAGAACCTGTATCACAATCTACCAGGATCATTTATGGAGGTCAGTAGATGTGATCCTCAGTGTGGAGAGAGGAAGGAGGGGAGAGGGAAGAGAGGATGGGGAAGCAGAGATTCTTCCTGGAACTCAGACTTAATCTTTTCTCACTTCTTCCCAGGCTCTGTGACAGGAGCCAACTGTAAGGATCTGGCATGCCAACCTGATGTGGATGGCTTCCTGGTGGGTGGAGCTTCCCTTAAGCCTGAATTTCTGGACATCATCCAAGCCAAAAACTGAGCCCTTCATGTGGCCCTCTGATTTACCCCTCCCCCTCCCATGTGATTGTGATGTTCATTCCCCTCCCACCATGGTCCACTTCAAGCTACACCTTCCTCCATCATGTAGACTGTGTGTACCAGTTCTCGGCTCCTCAGCCCTTCCTCCAATGGACCAGGCCTTTCTCCATTTACTATAAATTTGAAGGAAGCACATCATGTTTCTGGTTTCTTATTGGTTGGGTTGGAAATGGAAAGGGTGTGACTTGGTGTTCTCTGTCCCTACAAGGGGTGGGTGGCTGACAACCTTCTTCGCCTTCCTCTACTTCCTGTTTCTCAGACTTAAGCAAGAATCTTACTGTCCAGTCAGTAAGGGGTGGGGGGTGGGAAACAGGTAATGACAAGAGTGAATGCCCACCTTGTACCAATGCCTTACTCTGACCAGGCCTCAGAGATGGGGGTGGGGGGGGTGGGGGTAGGGAAACAAAGCATCCAGTGATATCTCCTTTGTCAGGCAAACCCTAATTAAAAACTACCACGAAGCTGTAACAATACTCTCATTATCATTTAAAGAAAGAGGCCTTCAGCTTGTCTAGTCTGTAGTAGGTGGGGTCACTGGTAGAGCAGGTACCGTTTCATGGCAGGGGGCAAGGGCAGGGCAGAAACCTCACCCAGCCGGGCTTCCCCCAAAATGTCACGAATGCACATTCGGCTCAGGTGGAGAAGGGAGTGAGGTTCCGCTGCAGAGAGAGAAGAGGAAGATAATTACTTGAAGGGTAGCAAACTGAAGCTCCATTCTGGCCTGGCTCCCACCTTCTGTCCTTGGACCTTTCTGTTTCCTTTGCCCAGCCATAGGGTTGGGAGGCCGGTGTGTTGGGGGATGGGGGCATACTGTTGTCTTGTCTGAACCATGCTGGAAAGGTTTTTCAGAGCCGCCAAACATACAGGTCTGGGGATAGCAGGGCAGGATCCTTGATGGGAAATGAGAGACCACTGCAATTAACTGCCACTACTGCTTTTCTTCAAAAAAGAGGAAATAGTTCCTTAGTACCTGAAGCTTCTCTCTCCCCGCTTCCCCCAAGCCAAAGCCCTACGGGGAGGGAGGACTAGTAGAATCTTTAGCCCTGGGCCAGAGCCTTTGACCCCACCCATCAGACCAAATTCCTCCCCTCCACCCAGGTCCCAACTTTTTAGTTTTTTCTAGGGCCTCCATGTTGTGCCCAGAGTCTTCTATCAATTGAAGAAGACAGTTTTAGGGAATCCAAGTAGAAGGCCAGTCTTGAGTGTTTTTAGATCTTTCTCCTTCCATTCTCCCCTTCAAGAATTCCCATTTAACTGCCTCTTGTTTTAGCTTTCAGTCCACTTCCTGTTGACCCCCAAAACCCCCTACCCTTGTGACAGATCACCCCCAAACTGAACAAATGGGAGCTTCAGTTGGCTTTGTTCCTTCTCTAGTTTGTCCTGAGACTCCTGTCTTACCTCCCCGTGTCCTGGAAATGCAAACCACCCCCACAAATCCAGCACCCCAATCTCACCTCTCCTTTCACCCAGGTAGCGGATTCGGACCTGGCACTGCCCCCATACAGCACTGACAGCAGGGTAGAGGGTCCTTCCTTTAAGGCCCCGGAAGGCAGGCCCCAGGTAGGTACCTCCAATGGCATAACCCAGAGTTCCTTCCTCCATATCCAAAACTACCAGTAATCTCTCCGGCACTTCCAGACGCGCATCCCTGGGCCCTGTGGGGTATCGAGGAGCCCCACTTCCCTTGCTTTGGTGATACAACTTCCCCCGCCCAATGTCCCAGCCCCAGGACTCCCCATTGCTGCCCAGCAATGCCGAATAACAGTCTGCTTGCAGTGGGGCCAAGGCCGTGGCCACACCGACCACAGCATGGGTGCCTCTCTGCTCAGGGGGCCAGCCAATCTCCCAGGCATGCAGACCCCTGGAGTAGCCTCTCTTGCCTCGGGCTCCATCAGTGCTCTGAGCCACAGGCCTTCGCTCAAAGCTCAGCCCCTCTTCCTTGACTTCAATGTTCTCTGAGCAGTCCTTGGGGTTCCAGCCATGATGCTGCTGCACACTCAGGTCTACAGGGGGTGCTGACAGTAGCTCCTCTAGTCCCTCCGGGAAAGACAGATCTTGGTATGAGGTGGCTGGGGATGGGGTGCTGCTGGTCCCACTGCCCCCTGCCAGGGCAGTCTGGCCCATGGGAGGGGGGCTTGGAGAATCCCCCCAATGCAGGCCTGGAGAGGGAGCGGGCGGCTAGAAGGTAAGAAGAGCGGTTTTCCACCCACTGCTGCTAGTGAAAGAGCAGCTTTACCTGGGGAGAGAAGAATGGTGCGAGGCAGAAAGTGAGAGTGACTTCTCCATCCTGCCCGGGCTTCTCACAACACAATTGCTCGCATCCTGAGGTTTCCTCCTCAATACTGTCCTTCACTTCCCAGACCTCCGCGCCCCCACCTCCCTTCCCGTCCTTCCAGGTCCCTTTCTCTATTTGCTTCTCTCTAGGACCCTCACTTCTACCATTCACCCAGACCTCGCGGTGGACGGGGATCCCAAAGTGTCTCAATCACGATCCCCACCCCTGCGCCGCCTCCACATGCAGACTCCTTGCACTGCAAAGAGCACCTGATTAGAAAGTTAGATGTGAGTTCGAATTCCCGACTCTGCTGCTTATTACCTGTAACCTTGGGGCCAGTCACTTCCCCTTGGGCCTCAGTTTCCTCATATGTAAAATGAGGAGTCTCAGCTAGTTAATCTCTAGGGTCCGGTCCAGCCCCAAAGCCAAGGATCCCACAGTCCCTTCCGGAGGAGTCAGATCCCGAAGCCCAAGTTCCCTCTCAGCTTCCGCCTCCTACGCTGAACCCCGCCTCTCCCCCCCCCCGCCCAGTCTCCGCCCTGCTCCCCCTAACTCCGCCCCGGACCACGGACTGGAGCGTGAAAAAAAGGGGGTGCGGGTGGGAGGAAAAGAGAGCTCTTTACTCCCGGAGCAGGGAGTTTCTTTGGATCAGGATTTAGAGCAGAGCGTGGAAAGGACCCTCTTTTACTGAAGGAGAAACCGAGGGTCCGGGAGGTGAATTTGCTAAAGGTCACCTGGGGTAGTCACAATTCGAATCTAGCTCTTTTGACTTGAAAGTCAGAGCTTTTTCTCCTGCTCTGCCCTTGTCTTTGTGTCTCCGGACTCGGAGTTAACCTTTTATAGGCAGCCGCTGTCTTAGGAATTCGGGGGTAGGGGGCGGAAAGGAAAGGGAACGACTCCGCGTGTGTAGGACCCGTGCCTCGGCTTCTGTTTGTGTCTGTCACGGGGCTAAGTCGTGCTTGCAGCCCCCCGCTAGGTGCTTGGGGAATGAATGTCAACGTTTAACCAAAAATGTGCCTGCTACCGTCCAGCTCTTAGGGGATAATACGCTTAGACGTATTTTGTGTGCGCGCGCAGACCCACAGCGGAACCCCTTCTTGCCTCTGAAGAATGAATGACTGTTCCTGCTCAGTTGGGTAACCATGATTCTGTCTACTGGCCGCGTCACATGAGGTGGGCGGGGAGCCGGGAGCCTGCAGAGCTCTGTGCGTGCCCCGCCTGGGCCCGGGAATGGTAGCGAGGGGCGGGCAGGGCGCGCCTCGGCCCCCTCTGGTGGCCACCGTGTGATGCCACACCATTCAGCTCTTTTCTGCAGCAGCGCCCCGCTGACTAAGCCCTTGCCTGCCCGGGAGATCTGCCTTGTTTTACAGTCAGGCTGTCCTCTACTCTCACAGTGGCTCTGGTAGGGAGAGCAATGGAGGCAGTATCCGTAAGTGATGGTCTGCTCTGTCGAGTCTTCCCTTTGGAGGTTCCTAATCCTCTGAAACATGAGAGGAGTAAGAAGGCAGCCTGCTTGCCTTCATAAATTTAGAACTGGAAGGGACTTCAGAGGCCACATAGTGAGAGAGTTAATTCAGAAAACAAGCATTTATAAAGTGCCTACTGCGTACCAGGCACTGTGCTAAGAGCTGGTGAAACAAAGGCAAAAGAAAACAAAAACCGGCTCACAGTCTAATCAGGGAGACAACATGGAAACAACTATATACAAATAAGAGAAATATAGTTTACATAGGAGATAGTTCCAGAGAAAAGGCACTAACATTAAGGCGAACTGGGAAAGGCCTTTTGGAGAAGGTGGGACTTTAGCTGATCTAGGAGGCAGAGATGGGGAAAGAGAGTATTCCAGGCCTGGGGGATAACCAGAGGAAATGCAGTCAAGAGATGGATTGTCCTGTACTTGGAATCGCAAGGAGGCTAGTCTCATCTGAAGGCAGAGTAGGTGGAGAAGAGTAAGGTGTGAGAAGACTGGAAAGGGAGCAAGTTATGAAGCCAAGCACTGGTATATGGAGGTAATGGAATACTATTGTGCAATAAGAAAGGATGAACAGGCGGATTTAAGAAAAACCTGGAAAGACTTGTACTAACTGATGCAAAGTGATATGAGCAGAACCAGGGAGACTGTACACAGTATCAGCAACATCGTGTGATGATCAACTATGAATGACTCAGCAATACAACAATCCAAGACAAGTGCAAAGGACTTGGGATGGAAAATGCTATCCATATCCAGATAAAGAATGATGGACTCAGAATGCAGATCAAAGTATATATTTTTTTTCCTTACTTTATTCTTTCTCAGGGTTTTATTTCCTTTTGTTCTGTTTCTTCTTCCATAACTGTGATGAGTGTGGAGATATGTTTTACAAGATAGCACATGTATAAACTATATCAAACTGACTACCATTTTCAGAAAAGAGGAAGGGAGGGAGAAAAATTTGGAACTCAAAGTCTTGTAAAAATGAATGCTAAAAAATTTCTTGTAATTGGGGAAAAATGCTATTTAAATTAAAGTAAAAATAAAAAATTCTAGCAATTTTGGACCAAGATTTTAAAAAAAGAGGCCACGTAGGATTTTATATGTGATACTGAAGGTGACAGGCAGCCCCTGGAATTTGTTGGAGATCAAACAAGAAGGCTAGTACAATAGCCCAGGCATGAGGTGATGAGGCCTTGTTTGGGGTAGTAGTGTCAGGGGAAAGAAGGGAACATATACAGAGATATGACAAAGATAGAAAAGACAGGCCTTGACAGAAGATTGGATATAAGGGGTGAGTGTGAGTAAAGAGTGGGAGATGATGCCTAGGTTAGAAAAGGTTTAGAAGAGCCACCGAGGTGAGCCATCCCATGGCTTCATTTTACA